GGGTTGGTAAAAATAAGTGAAGGAAACCCTGCCTTTTCACCTATTTGTTGTGATAGTAATGGATCTATTTTGCTGTGCACTCAAGTCCCACACTTGTCATTGAAGTTCTCTCTGAACTACTTTTCAATTTCTTTTCTTCTTAGGGCACACACATTCACACACATCCTGAAGAATTTTTACTAGTTCATCTAGCAATGTTTTACTACCAATTCTCTAGTCCACAAGTAATTGTATCATCTACATAGGACAAGACTATTACATTAGGCCACTGACTTCTCTGACAGGTCCCTGTGTCAACAGTCAGCCCTGCAGGAAACACGTGTGCAACTTGGCTCATGCTGCAGGTGCCATGCTGTGCTGGTGGTGGACTGATGGGTAGCACACACCCTGCTCTGGGCTTCTCACTCCTGTCCCAAGGGACTTGCCAGGTTTGCCTATTGCATGAAGACTTTGGCACTGCCCTCCTCTCCTCAGCTGGCTCCTTACCAAACTTTTCTTTCCTGTACCTTTCATTTTGAGTTCTGGCATAGACCAATCTTATCGTTCAAATATATTGGTATTCTGGGACCTTAAATCATCACTACTTGATACTTCTTTTCTTATGATACTGTTTCAAGTATACTGCAATATTTGGCCACATTTTATATGTTGAGATCTCTCTTTGAATGTCTCATTCTGCACTTTACAGACGTGGACCACATTGTCCTGCATAGTATCTTGAACCTCTACAAGGACTTATGAACTAGTCAGAAACATAAAGGTATGTGCATGTGGATTCACTTGACAAAAGAAACCAAAATATTCGTACAATCTATCATTACCCTGGCTTATAAGACATTTCAATATCAACCTCAATTGAGGACAATGACTATACACTATCGAGGACTTTAGGCTTAAACAAGAATGGTAACTTTTCTGCACGAGGGCCAAAAACCCATTTTCCAGAATATCTTCCCTGGCCCTGGAGTTCTTTCTACTCAGGGCCCGGGTACTGTCCCTGAGCTTTGGTAATAAAGGAACAAAAGTGTTGACAGTCTATCAACTTCATTCACAGCATTACTTGTGGGAAATTTGGTGATAATTGGCCATAACACTTTTACAGCTATTCCTACCTTGTTTGCCTTTCAATTGTGATCTTTAAACCTCATGCTCTTGAGCAAGTAAGAATCCCGATGTGAAGCACGAGTGCCCTGTTAGATCAGGAGATCTTAATTACTTGATCCAAACAGGACTCATGGTGTCCACATAACAGGATATAAAATTCATAACATCATATAGCCATATGCAAAGGTCCTTTTGCAATCACTTGGTAAAGGACTGTTTACCTATCATTGGGTAAACCACACCCAAATTCTTCCACTAAATATTTGGAAGAATGTATTGGTTACACGTACCTCATTATTGGTCCTCAGGTCGAATTCAGGGGCAAAAACTTGTGAGGCTTCCTTTACCTTCTATAGAAGATGACCATTTGTATCACTGATTTTTCACCTTAGGGTCTTGCTTCTCTGCCTGGACCTTTCCATACATTAATTTTATAATTACATATCAGAAGTAGTAAAAAGGCAGGTACATATAACCAGAGCCATGCTTTTATTGGCTAAGATACCATTTTCATGGAGCTTTTGCATGGGATGGCCTACAAAACTATCTAATTTCAGCTTCCTGAGTAGTTAGGATTCCACACATGAGGGAGTGTAATTGCTCATTTTTAATTGCTGGTCTGAAATTAAAAGAGGAAAGGGTACTTTACCAATTCAGTGAGCATTAAGTCCCTTTACTTCTGAATTCAAGCAAAGTGTTGGCCAAATGATAATAACAAAAATAATACAAAACATTAATAAAATATGTTATCATCAGGCATACTTTTAATGAACGTGGTATTTTGGTTCATAATTTGAGGTATATAACAGGCCTAGGTAGGACTCCAGTCTGTTAACCATCCCTTCTCAGAAAGCATACAGTTTGTAAACATGGGAGAATGAGCGATTTCCAAATGGATAGTGTGTGTGTGTGCGTGTGTGTGTGTGTGTGTGTGTGTGTGTGTGTGTGTGTGTGTGTGTGTGTGTGTGTGTGGTACAAATAGGAAGGCCAAGGGCACAGGTGCGTCCCAATCCCATTTTTTTTACTAGGCCTCTGTAGATAAGCAGAAGCGTTTGCCTGGGAAGGTGGCTCAGTGTCAGAGCACTTGCCATGCATGCATGAGGTCCTGGGTTCAATTCCTCAGCACCACATAAGCAAAAAAAAAAAAAAAAGCTGGAAGTAGCACTGTGGCTCAAGTGGTAGAGTGCAAGCCTTGAGCTGAAGAGCTGAGGGACAGCACCTAGGCGCAGAGTTCAGGCCACAAGCCCGGACCCCCCACCCCAAAAAAGTAGAAGGGTGAACAGTGTGATGGAAGGCGTTAAGCGAGCAACTAGCTAAATCTTGCAATGTGAACTCCACTGTCCTTATCTTGTAAATGGAATCATAGGCAGGATTTAAGGATTCCTTTTTTTATTCTGAAAATACTGTGAAGAAGAGTTATTATTTTTGAAATGTTGAAATAAATACTGAAATTGTTGAAGCCACAGGAAGCCTGAACTGAAGCACTGAAGGAAACCTCATGTTCCCAGAGACAGATTTCTTCAGAACAGCCCACAGGGCTAGCTTTTATGGAGGCCAAGATGAGAGAATCTCCTTTGAAGCCAGCTCTGGCTGGCTTCAACTCAGTTCTTGAGTTCAAAACCTCATATTGGCACAATAACGTTCCTTCATGAATGTGTGAAAGTATTGCTCTTCATGTAACCAAACAGCTCTAGACATATCTAGAATGACTGGCTTATATAGGATCTGGAGCCTTGGTCTTGGTTTATTAATTAAGCTCTTTCTGATGTAACAGAAATTGTTTCTAAATACCTGCAGGATATCTTTAATTACATAACTATACAGTGGCATCGATCTTGGCTCTAGAAATTCTAAATTTAGGTCAACCTTTCTGTTTCTGTAAAAGAAGACACTATATTTGTTCAAAGCCACATTATGGTAGATGGAATACTGGAGTGGATTTCACAGCTAGCAGTCTGCAAGCAGCCTGTTCTAACAAAGACTTGCAGTCCACAAATACACTTAGACAGCTTGGAAATAGGACAGAAAGGGGGGGAGAGAATAAAAACAGCACCGAGAAACCAATCAGCACCAAGAAAGTGATGAATTGGGACACCAGATGACGAGAGACAAGCCAGGAGAAAGCACACAGGACATGATTACAGAGACATGTGGCATGGCATCTGGTGCCACTGCTGGTCCGGCCTAAATAGGGCCTAAGCAGGAGGAAGGCCTACAGGAAATTCCCATTCCAGGCACTGGACTTTCAGATTGAGTAACATCAGCCAAATGCCCATGCCTGCTTCCAGGGATCCAGCCACACCCATCAGTTGGGAGGTAAGTGATGGATGGGGCATTTCCTTCCCCCTGCATGAAAACAAGATGCCTGACCCCACCATCTACCATGTGGCCAATAGGGCCCCAGCCACACCTGACCTCCTTACTTAATATTACTGTATTACTAAATCAATTTATAAAATGTTACATCCTCTTTATCGTTTTGTAAACATTCAAATATTTGCTTTTTGTAAAAGCCATATTTCTTGAGCTCCACCTCTGAAACAATAATTCTCACATTCACCAAAAATTAAACATTCTTCTTTTGAATAGTTTATTTCTTCCTTCTTCCTCATTCCTTCCCTTCCTCTTTCCATCTCTCACTTCCCTACTCCTTCCTTCCTTTCTCTCAGGTCTAGAAGTGATGCTGTAGCTCAAGTGGCAGATGGTTTTATTCCTTTTTTAACTTCAATTTTTGTGAGAGATTGATCAATATCTTTGTGTGCTTGATTATTTCCCCTAATGTCATATCTACTTTGGCCTTCTATGAGATAACACAGGTGCGACACATCGTCCACACTGGTCTTTTATTATAGCTCACTCAGCAGAACAAATAAATGGGCTAAGAGTGAATCAGTCACAAGTTTTTCATCACCAGTGATTAATTAAAGAAAAGTGCAAGCACTGAAGACACTTTGGGGTTCTCCCCCAAGACAAAATGCAGGGCTGCGAAGGTGGGTCAGTGGTAGAGCGCTTGCCTTGCATGCTTGAGGCCCTGGGTTCGATTCCTCAGCACCACATAAGCAAAAAGAAAAAAAAAGCCGGAAGTGGTGCTGTGGATCAAGTGGTAGAACGCTATCCTTGAGCTGAAGAGCTGAGGGACAGCGCCCAGGCCCAGAGTTCAGGCCCCACGACCGAACCTCCCCCCAAAAAAATGCAGAGATTCTAGTCTTTATTAATCCATCATATTTTTTAAATATATATTTTATTGTAAAGATATTGTATCGATTGGTTATACCATTATATGAGTTAGGTCATTAATACATTTTCTATCAAGCATTGTTACCCCTCCAAGAAAGACTTTACTACTGTTATGACTTTTTCTAGAAAACCTTTCCAATTTTTCTACATATGATTTTTCTCCTCTTTGTGTGTGAGGGTGTATGTGTGTCTGTGTGTTTTGTGTGTTCTGTGATGAACCCTGAGCTGTGTCTTGTAGTTCGAGGACTCCACATCTGCTATATCATAAGGTCTGTATCCTGTATTGGTTCTGTATTGCAATTTCAATTTTCTTACAGATCAAAGACTTTCCCATTTGGTACAATCCTAAGTTATTTCATTTGTGTGAATCAACTTATGTGTGTTAAGCTGTCTTTCCACATTGGTCACATTCATAAGGTTTCTCTCCTTGTGTCTGTGATGGATGTTAAGTTGGGCCTTCCAGGTGAAAGAATTTCCATGCCTGCTACATACATAATATTTCTCTCTGGTTGGTTTTTTTCTGATGGACAAAAAGGTGTATGTTCTGCATGAAAGATTTTCTACATAGGTCACATTCATAAAATTTCTCTCCTGTGTGTGCTCTCTGGTGGATAGTAAGTTGTAGCTTCTGGCTGAAAATCTTTCCGCAAACATGACTTTCATAAGGTTTCTTTCCTGTGTTTTTTCTGATGGACAGTGAGGTTTGACTTCCTGGTGAAAGTCATTCCACACAGGTTACATTCATAAGGTTTCTTTCCTGTGTGTATTATCTGATGGACATTGATGCTTGACTTCCAAGAGAAGGACTTTCCACACATGTTACATTCATAAGGTCTCTCTAATGTGTGTGTTTTCTGGTGCACAGTAAGGTTTCTTTTATGGGTGAAAGACTTTCGACACAAGTTGCATTCATAAGTTTTCTCTGGTATGTGTTCTCTGATGGAGATTAAGATTTGATTTCTTGGTGAAAGATTTTCCACACATCTTACATTCATAAGGTTTCTCTCCTGTGTGTGTTCTCTGGTGCAGAGTAAGATATGCCTTGCAGGAGAAAGACTTTCCACAAATGTTACATTCAAAAGGTTTCTCTCTAGTATGTGTTCTCTGATGGAGATTAAGATTTGATTTCTTGGTGAAAGATTTTCCACACATCTTACATTCATAAGGTTTCTCTCCTGTGTGTGTTCTCTGGTGCAGAGTAAGATATGCCTTGCAGGAGAAAGACTTTCCACAACTGTTACATTCAAAAGGTTTCTCTCTAGTATGTGTTCTCTGATGGAGATTAAGATTTGATTTCTTGGTGAAAGATTTTCCACACATGTTACATTCATAAGGTTTCTCTCCTGTGTGTGTTCTCTGGTGCAGAGTAAGGTATTCCTTGCAGGAGAAAGACTTTCCACAAATGTTACATTCAAAATGTTTCTCTTTTGGGTGTGTTCTCTGGTGGCGAGTAAGGTTTGATTTCTCGGTGAAAGACTTTCGACACACGTTACATTCATAAGGTTTCTCTTTTGTGTGTGTTCTCTGGTGGACAGTAAGGTATGTCTTCGAGGTGAAAGATTTTCCACACATGTTACATTCATAAGGTTTCTCTCCTGTGTGTGTTCTCTGGTGGAGAGTAAGCATCGATTTCTGGGTGAAAGATTTTCCACACTTGTTACATTCATAAGGTTTCTCTCCTGTGTGTGTTCTCTGGTGGAGAGTAAGATATGCCTTCCAGGAGAAAGACTTTCCACAAATGTTACATTCATAAGGTTTCTCTCCTGTGTGTGTTCTCTGGTGGACAGTAAGGTATGTCTTCGAGGTGAAAGATTTTCCACACATGTTACATTCATAAGGTTTCTCTCCTGTGTGTGTTCTCTGGTGTCTAGTAAGATATTCCTTCCAGGAGAAAGACTTTCCACAAATGTTACATTCAAAAGGTTTCTCTTTTGTGTGTGTTCTCTGGTGAACAGTAAGCTTTGATTTCTGGATGAAAGACTTTCCACAAACGTTACATTCATAAGGTTTCTCTCTAGTATGTGTTCTCTCGTGGACAGTAAGCTTTGATTTCTCGGTGAAAGACTTTCCACACTTGTTACATTCATAAGGTTTCTCTCCTGTGTGTGTTCTCTGGTGTCTAGTAAGATATGCCTTGCATATGAAAGATTTTCCACAAATCTTACATTGAAAAGGTTTCTCTTTTGTGTGTGTTCTCTGGTGGACAGTAAGCTTTGATTCCTGGGTGAAAGACTTTTGACACATGTTACATTCATAAGGTTTCTCTCCTGTGTGTTTTCTCTGAGGGACGACAGGGTGTTTCTTCTCAGTGAAAGACTTTTCACACTGTTTACATTTGTCAACTACAGAAGACACATGAGTACTATATGCAGCACACATCTTACCAGGTTCACTGAAAATACCCATGCTCTGACAGCCAGTGACCTTTTCTATCCTCATCCCTAAGGAGTTCCCATTATTCTTAATCAGTTCTGACTTCTGTATGGAGCTCAAATGAAAACTTCTTATAAGTCTCACTTTTTCCTCCCCTAGGTTACTATTCATGATTGCTACTTCAGAGAGATATTTATTGTGACGTTCCTGGCAGGTGCTAATCACATCCTCCATTTCTGGGACATCTAAAATGAATAATAGAAAAATAAACAAAAACATAAATGCGATCCATATATTCCTTAATGTAAAGATATTTCCTCACATTCTGTTACAATATTTTGAAATATCAAAGCATTGCTTTATGCAGAATATATATATTTCTCTGCAATGTAGTAATTAAGAAAGTAGTACTGACATTTTACAATGGAAAATAATGTTTTTCTGTATTTCAGATTTTTATATTTTACTCAAGGAAATATTTACTCAAATTATTCATCTCTGTACTCTTAACGCTTCCATTCTGAATCTCCCTCTATGCCCAGCACCACTGATAAGAAATTGTCCTGATCCTATTTTCCTCCTACCTGCAAAACACTAGTTTAAAATGAGATCTCTTTACTACATTTCTTATTGTCTTTTTCTCTTTATGAATGATTTCTCTACAGACAAAGAGAAGTGCTAACATTAACTACACTGGAACATCAAATTCAGTTTGTCTCCACGAGAATTCTGGATTGACAATTCCTTGAGACAAAGGATCACCTAGTTCTCTTCCATACATGACTGAAGGGCACTAGGAATACTATTGCTCTGTACAGCTCAAGAGAAACAGACCCACTGGGCTCTGGACCCAACATCACTATTCAAGATGCTTTAACTCACCTGTGAAATTCTCTTCTGAGTCTTCTCTCATCCATGGTTCTGCACCTTGCTCCAGCTTCACAATCAATATAGGTTTAGGAACACAGTGCCCTGTGAGTAAGAAAGAGTGGAGAACTATTGCTCTTGCTGGGTCATCATTAATGTAATGTTGCAGACATCCTGTTCACTGGGTTGCTCCTAAATCTGGTTTCTCAATTGTTTTATTTTTTGGGGGGTGGGATCGGTTGTGGGGCCTGAACTCTGAGCCCAGGAGCTGTATCACACCTCCTAAACTCAAGGCTAACACTCTACCACTTGAGCGATAATGCCAATTCTGGCTTTTTTTTTCTGCTTTTTTGGTGCTGAGGAATCGAACACAGGGCCGCAAGCATGCAATGCACGGGCTCTACCACTGAGCCACCTTCCCAGTCCATGGTTTCTCAATTCTTAACAGCTCCATGGTGTACTTTCCCCCAGCTTTGGGTTTATTTTCCCAATGTGTGGCTTGGACTCAGCTCTTTTGCTCAAATCTAGCATTCTACTAGTTTGTGTCTTGGCTACATTTCTAGTTTATGAATGGTTATTGGAGATAAGAGTCTCATGTTCATTTTTCTACAGTTGCTGGCTTTAAACCAAAATCCTCAGATTTTAGCCTACAGAGTATCTAGAATTCCAAGCTTGAAACAATGCAACCTATGTCAGGTTTGGCTTACAAATACACACTTTCACACTTTCACCTACTGATTTCCAGATCATGCTGACAGTACTAATGTATATCCTATCTAGAGTGTAGATCCACCTATAATAATCACCCCAAGTCTGGAAAGTCAGTCTCCTATTAGTGGATCATAGTTTAGAACTTTTGTCCAACTACTGATTAGAAATCTTAAAGACTGAGAATAAAATTAGCTCATGAGTTACACATAATGAAGTTGAAGTTTCCCTTAGGAAGAAATGACACTTCCCATGGACTGGAATCTTTTTTTTTTTAAACAAAATGTAATGGTCCAAAGGCTTACATTTCTAACCCTACATTTAGGAGGTAAGATCAGAAGAGGCAGGCTTGAAACCAACCTGGGCATGGAAATTCAGAATATACCCCAAAACAAAAGCCAAAATAGAGTGGTGGCTCAAGCAGTAGTGTGAAAGGCAAACAACATCAAGCTCCCAGACCTGAATTTGGCTGGCTTTTATACTAGCAGTTTTTTTACAAGGGAATGGACTGGAATCTTATACCTAAATAACATAGTCAAATGTCTACTAAAATAAAAGCACTTGATCTTCCAAATAAAAGTGACCTTTGCTCACCCAAGGACATTAGGTTGTTATAAGTTTCCAGCATTACTTCTCTATGAAGGGTCCTCTGACCAGGATCCAGATCCTGCCACTCCTTCCAGGTAAAGTACACAGCCACATCATCAAATGACATCAGCTTCTGTAATGGCACATTTCCATCAAGAAATTAGACCTGGGTCAAGAGAATTCCAATCTGGAATGTCATTATCCTGCAGGTAGGCTTTTGTCTTACATAAAATGTTTGCAGCTGGCTATGTTATCTTTTCACTGGGAAAATTAAATAGCAAATTAGAAATATTTGACAATACATAAACCTGGCCACTAAAATACACAGATTTGCAGGGCACTGGTGGCTTATGCCTGTAATCCTAGCTATTGAGGAGGAAGAGCTCTGCGGATCAAGGTTCATGGCCAGCCCAGGCAGGAAAGTCCATGAGACACTTATCTCCAATAAACCACCAGAAAACTGAAAGTAGCACTGTGACTCAAGTGGTAGAGCACTCACCTTGACCTGAAGAGCTGATGGACAATAACCAGGCCGAGAATTCAGGCCCCAAGACCAATACAAAGTTACAGATTCCCTAATGCATGCAAACACATTTCTGCTGCTAGCAATAGAGACAAGATAAAAATTCTAAGGAGACATTAATCTGGCATGATGACATTAAGTCTAAGGTGGTGTCTAAAAAATTATATTATTATTTTTGATAAAATTTTAGTATATATCAGTAGGTAACAATGAATTAAACAAATATTTTCTCTGCATTTACATTTATTGCTTCACCATAAATCCTATTTAGACCTTCTATTAACAAGTACTCTCATAAGCAATCAGAACACATTCAGGATATCACATGGCATACAAAACATAGAACATTACTAGATCAAAGAAAAGCAGTGTCCACATGAATGTTAAAAAACTGTAACAGTACTCCAGAAAGTAGCTAATGATTTATTGGGCCCTTAAAAGATTTGATTTAGTTCCCACATAAAAATATCCTAGGTTAACCATGTTTGGTTTAAATACTAAATATTGAAATCTGGTCTTAGATACCCTGATATTTCTTCCTATGTAAAAAAGAACTGGTACAATGAAGGTTTGTAAACTTTACCTACATTCTACAACACAAAATATATGTGGGAGGGGAATAAAATATACCTTGAGAAGATTTTCATTTTAATAAGCCTTCATGGAAGGTGGAGGCAAATAGATAGACTCAAAGAACACTCAAGGTGACAAAAATGATAAATATGACCAAATGCTCAAATGTGTTAAATATTCCTGAGTCATTTCTCCAGTAGATCCCTAAAGATATATTTCTACTTTTGTTAGTTAATAGTGAAATTCTTCAGAGATCAAAATCAATTCCTAGCAAATATCTGTGAGATTTTACAACAAATGGTATTTCTAATAGAGAAAAACTCATCACTGTATTATTTTTTTTTATCAAAACTACCTATCTTATACTGGCAGTGAATGAAAATATTTAAAAGTAGTGGGATGGAAAAACAAAACTGAATACCACTACAAATGAAGTTAGACCAAAGATAACAGAATCAGGTGAAATCAAATTTTCTTGTAGTTTATCAGTTGGAGGAAGGATGTACTTTTCTGTGTGGAACTCTGAAGTTGAGCTGAAGGGGAAAAGGTTTGAGAGGTTGGAATTCCAGCCTGACAGCACTGAGAGAACTGAGAGCTGGCCGCAGAAGGGTTAAAAGAGAATTCTGGAGATGGTTAAGAGATTGGAGTTCCGGCCTTTTCCTTACTGTTGGAAAGATAGCATCTGAAACTGAGCTGCTGTTCACCTTGAAGGCTAGGTAAGGTGAACTTCATGTCTGCATTTTCTCTGGGCGCCAGTCTTCTGTCTCAGGAGAATAAGGAAACATGTTTTCTTCACAACCTGTTGTGGCTCAGATTGTAATATTAATATAGATACTTCAGTTTTGCATGTTATCAATGGTAATCTTCCCTGTGTGAACTCAAGGAACTATGCTTGCTTGCTGGCAACCAGAGGCCAAGTGCCAGAGAGGCTTCAGAACCCTGGTTTCCCCTAAGTCTATCTGTTTATGTTTTTGTGTTTCCCTAATTTTCTTTGTTTCTGGAATCCTGTAGAACTCTCTAGGCAACAATTTTCCTATACAGTGGGTATGAAAAATGTCAATCTTAAGAGCCATGTCAGCAACATAAAGCTGATCACTAAGAAAAACCAGTTCCCAGATAGATCATTGAAGAAAAGAAAAAACTGAGGAAACAGAGAATGAGAAAAGTAAGAAAAAATGATTCAAAGATAGATACAAAGAGAGAGAAAGAGAAAAATAACCAACAAAAGTGAGTAGAAAACCAAAAGTAGAGAGAGATTATAGAGGAAAGAAATCTTGTGAGGATACTTTAGAAAACAAACAAGATTTTGAAAAAAGAACATAAACTTTAGCAACAAATATAGCCTCAGCTTCAAGTAAGACCAAGACCATGAAGTAGTCCAAGAAGTATATATGGAGAGTAATTTAAGTACATATAGGTTAATCATTCCTTAAGAACACACAAAGGTGCGTATGACCACACAATTTCAGCAATTCCAGGAAAATTTCATTGAGATAGTTTAATGTTACTCATGAGAATGAGATCTGGTTGCAATCTACCCTTCACTTTCCACGAGATGTAACCTGCTCAGTGGCACTACATCAGGTAACAGGTATGACTACATGTTATGACAAGTTGAAACCTAGACATTCTGAAGCCAATCTGAATTCAATTTAGAAAGAATATAACCATTTAATCTGCTAAACCTACAAGTAATCTTTATCTCCTAATCTACAAGCCATCTTTTTCTGATTTATGAATACATTCCGGAGGCTGAATCTGTGTGGTTGGTATTGTTTGTAATTCTTGGAAATCTTTAGGTTCATAT